TGTTGCCTAAGTATATTCAGTATTTATTATAATTTTATATTCTATTTTAAAATAAATGTCTAATAAGTTATACTTATGAACATTTTTTTACACATTTTTAATTTTTTATAAATGGCTAATAGAGTTTGAAAAACATCTTTTAAACGACTAAATTTTAGATTAGACTATATAAACGTCGGCTATATAAACGATCGTTTTGATTAAAAAATCATTGATTATATGCCTTTTTAACTCATAATTTCTTACTGAATATTTACTAAAGAAAATATAAATTTTAAAAAATCTATATCATAATGATTTAATAATTATATATTTATAATATTTACCATAATATTTATCGTAAATATTTTCTAATATTTATGATAAATATTTATGATCTATTGAATCTAAAACTCCAAAAACATTTATAAAATATTTATAATAAATATTTATAAAATATTAAAATAATTATTATAAATATTCTATAAATATTTTATAAATATTCTGTGCTGTCTGGGAATCATTTATACTTCAGTGTTTTTCAATCTTCTTTCATTTATGAGTGTCCCCTTTTTTAATATCAATTTTATTGTGACGCCCCTTTTGCAATTCGTGCAGAGACACTACAGAAACCCATAAAAATAATAACACAAAAATAGATAATATTATTTTAAATTTGATAAAAAGCTGTTAAGAGCAGTAAATATAAAAATTCAAATTATGACTACTGTTTTACGTTGCAATCATATGTAAGTCTATAAACATCTTCGTTTTCGTACAACCTATTAAGTTTAAATAAATCAATAACTATTTAATAACGTTATAGGATTCAAATCATTTGTTTCAAATCATCATGTGTCTATCGGGTCTAATAACCGGAGTAGAAACACAATTTACGAATTTTAACCATCACATTATGACTACGTTGGAGGAATATCGCTTTTCATTTTTACATTATGTTCTCTTTTTTTTCTTACCATAATATTTGTTAATCATTATATCTATCATTGTATTTTTAATGCGTTACATACTCTATGACGTTTTTGATTATGCTTGATGTATATGTTACCGTTATGACACCGTTTATTTTTTAAATTCAGAATTTAATCAGCGTTGATAATGGTCAAAATATTGACCAAAACGTTCGCTTTGTATTTGTATTTAAAGAGAACTTATGTTTGATTCTTTGTTGTCACTTTTTATTGTAATTCATTATTAGATATTAGATTAAAGAATATTATCTTTATAGATGACGTCACTTTCAATCATAATTTGAATTTTTATATTTACTGCTCTTAACAGCCTTTTATAAAATTTATTATAATTTAATAAGAGCCTTGACTTACTACGATTTAATAATATTATTTATTAAACGATAATATTAAATAATAATTAACTATTTTATAAATTCGGTAAAGTAATTCATAAAAATGCTTTTCTCACACTAGTACGGTAGATACATATAAGGCATACATTGAATCGTTGAAAAATAAGCCACTTTCCGCATGCTAAACAACAATCGAAAATCGAACTTTCGTAATTGGCGTTACAAAAAAACAATTGCTTGCGTTGTCATAATAAAAAAATAAATAATGAATAAATAATTAAATAATAATTAAAATTATAAATAAGTAAATAATTACTTTTGCATTTTTTCGCTATAACTTTAAAACAATTGACTTAGCGCATATGTGTATTAAGACTTTTTAACTTTGAATGACACCAAAAATACTGTTTCAGTATGGATATCACATTGCGAGACATCCTGTATATGTTACTGTATATATTTTCAGACTTGTTGTTAATGTTGAAATTAAACATATTGAATAATATAATTTGTTTATTGCTGTAAATTGAATATTCCAAAATGCATATTATGTCTTTGTTTTAATTTTTAATAAATACTAGACTTTTTCTTTATTTTATATTTTCTCTTATGCCTCCCTTTAAATATCTCACGCCCCCTAGCGGACTAGATACACAGATTTGTAAATCATTACATTACTTTTTTCTTCATATAATTCATGTCAGAAATCGCAAAACAGAGAAAAAAGTTTTTAACTATATAAGTCACGAATAAATTCTTAAAAAATACAATGTTTTTGAAATTATGTCAGAGATTTTAAGGACATATTCTACAAGTCGACATAAGAGAAAAAATGTCTATAAACATGGGTCCAAAAATGCTTTTTCTCAGAGTTATAATTCCTTAAAGTTGAGAAAAAATCGAAAAATGTATTAAAGCTCTTGGAGACTTTTTATAGAAAAAAATTTTGAATTTATTTTCAACATTATTTTAATATTAAGTGAGTTAACTGAAACCTTAAATATATTTATCTTATGTAATTTATTGAATAAAAAGGTGCACATTTAATTATTTTTCTACGTAGTCTCCATGGTATGCAATACAAGTGTTCCTTCGGAAGTATACGCGAATATCTTTAGGAAAAATCTTTTACCTGAGAGTGTAGACTTGTCTCCCTTTTAAGCGGTCAAAAGGCGTGAAAAATCACTAAGATTTGCCGAATACGGCGGATGTGGATGACATTCAAGATACAATGGGAAGCAAGTCTCATTGTCAAGTCCGACGAAGAGATGAAGCTGGCGGTACATGAATACCTATATACTCTCAGGTAAAAGACTTTTTCAGGTAAAAGATATCAATATTTATACAAAAAATTATTTTACTTTTATTCAAATTAATCAAAATTCTAAAGTGTGTGTGTGTGTGTGTGTATTATAAAAATATATAAATTTTTTATTAAGATATCCAATAATATTGTGCAATATTATTGTCTAAAGTCTAAAAAGCAAGAAGACTAACTCAATTCTTATAAATTAAGTTTTAAATTAATACCTATATATGTAAGAAATTTGCATTAAAAATGCAGTATTTATTTCTCTTTTAAAATAAATATTTTTCAAAATATTCTGCAAGAGACAGTATTTATTCAGATAAAAACAATTGTTTGTCTCAAAATTGCAAGTACAAAAAAATAAATATTTCCAAGTATGTATGAATGAGTACAAAAAAATCAATATTTCCAATTATGTATGAATGAGTTTATCTTTATTGTCTATAATACAATTTATATTTCATTTTTAACTTGATATTTTACATATGATCTTTCCACTTGCATGCGTGATTATAGGAAAATTACTTCCACAACTAATTACTTCCACATAAGAAATTCCCCTTTGTGCTTTTTTTAACTTGAAGGAAGAACAAATATTAAAAACAATTACTAACAAAATTTTTATAAGTCTTGAAATGATTCATAATATTATTAATATAATGTATAATTTAAAAAAATTAATAACATTGCAAAAATTAGACTATCCATTTTAAATTAAAAATTTAACTGTTTATTATCATTATATAATTATATAAATTATTATTGTTATAATAATTATAAATTAGTGTGTATAATGAACACAATATATGTATATTATCAAGATAATAAAAATATTTGTAGATTTAAATGAATCAACTGGGAATAATTTTGCAAGAATTATAGGAAGAAATAGTGCTTATTATTTAATATGTTGATGTTAATTTTTTTAACTGAGATGTATAATTTAATTTTTGTAGTCTGAAGAGAACCCAATTCAGAGTCGAAACGTTGCGTCTTTTTTAATAAAAAATTTTTCACCTTTAGCCAGTGTCGGTCAATCAATTCTTTCTTACCCTTATTTCTTAATTTTTTTAAGTTCAAGTATATTTTCTTCTCTTTTTATTATTATTTAACTTCTTCATAAATCAGATGCATATCAGTCAGTTCTTCATAAAAAAAACTTGTCCATTTTGAACATGATAATTTCAATTAAATAATAATACTAACACTGAATGTAATGCTAAATGAATACTCAACGTTGTAATACTGAGCTTAATCAATAATGTCTTATTTAAATGTTAAACAATGTCTTATGTTAGTCAAATAATGTTCTACATACATCAAACAATATAATCTCTGATTCTCTAATGACAAAATGGCTCATTTGTGGACATGAGTTTATTGACAAAACTGGTTTGTTTTGATGTTCTTTATAATTATTTGAAGTTTATTAGAATTAGTTTTCAGGTTTGAACCACATAGACTTTTGGTTTGATTCGAATGTAAACAAATTATAGTTCACTTCATCAGGGAGGAACAACCTGATACTTGAAGTTTGTCAGTCTAATTTTGGGATATTCTATATATATATATATATATATATATATATACAGAGTGTCTGACATAAAGTGTCACACCAAAAATATACAAGTAGATCCGTTATTTGGAGACGATTTTTCCTCAGCAAAAATGTCAAGGGAAACCATCATTTTTTGCATGTTTCCAAGTTTTGCCATCATGTATCTCTTTATAACTAAACCTTAAATTGAAATTTTATTAAAGTAAACTCTACTTGAAATTAATTGTAGAATGTGGTTTGTTAATATTTTATTTCCACAAGGCTTAGGTTGTGAAGAATCCTTTATTTTCAATTGCTTATAACTCGAAAATTATTGATGCCTCAATATTTTTGTTGAGGAAAATTGTCTCCAAATAACAAGATCTACTTGTATATTTTCGGTGTGACACATTATGTTAAACACCTTGTATATATAAATCGCTTTTTGAAAAATTGACTTTCAAAAAATAATGTGTTTTGTTTTATACTCTGCGTATCGCACGAGAATCTTCAATGTGAGGTGAAATTTCTTTCGTGTCTCGTTGAAACATTCGAAAATCTATGGCGAAATACCCATATACAGTTATTAGAATTGGTTTTCGGGTTTGATACGCGTAGACTTTTTGTTTGATTCCAACGTTTCGTGAACATTTCAGCTCACTTAGTCAGGAAGGAACAATCTGATACTGAGCTGTTCCTTGTCAAGTCTTCTTTTTTGTTATGCATATATACAACCATGCCTCCATGACCACGTCACGTAACTCAAAAATTACGGAAGGGCGCATTAGATATCCATAGCAAAGTTACAATATAGGATTATAATCGCTACTTCACAATTCGACACTCACCATATTAGATTCGGAGATGTAATCCGAATTCGCAGGCATATTTGAATCGACACAAGAAATACAAATTGGTGCGAAGAGCACTGACCCACTTTCCATCCACACACTCGCAGAAACAAGGTAATAAAATCGGCCAAAAATTCAACTTAAAAATGGGACATTAACGACGAACGAACGAATAACGGCAACTGCCACGAACGATGATCCGAGCAAAAGTTCGAGATAAACCTAGAATGGAACTGATGCAACGCGAACGATGTAGCAAACCGAGCAACAACTTTCGCAGGAACGAAAAGTGTTAATAGCTTGTTGATTTGCCACAACACACCGGCAGCACCGATATCCCATTTCCATTGAACTTTATAACATACTGGAGCGAGAGTCCTTTCGAGGGTGGGGAATGACCGAATTTTTGGAAGAGGATACGAAGAGTTTGGCGGACTCCCCTCTTTGTTCAGGGATTCGCTGATAGGTTGACGGACTGTTCTACTATCGTAGTTAGAAACATTGGTCTTTTCACGAGTAAATATATATTTCATTAGGTTGCGTTCCAAAACGTCCTCTTCAAGGAAAATTTTACTGAAAAAGCTATAGTGTACGTTACATGCATTATAGATTTTGAGTAAAATTTCCTCGAAGAGGACGTTTTGGAACGCAACCTTGAATTAGAAAAGAAATAAAATAATTTACAACCATTTTCAATTTAATTAAAAATTTTACTTTAAATTTTCCTAAATAAATTAAGGCCGGGTCTACAATAGATGTAGTAAGCTCCAAGCCTTAAGAAATTGATCAATCACAGTCTTATTCCTCTCATTCTTGACTGTGATTGATGTATTTTTTAAAGCATAGAGCTTACTACACCTGTTGTAGATCCGGCCTAAAGTAATTTCTGAAAGCTGTGTATCGCTTTTATTGTTAAATATTCTATGAGAAATGTTTTAGCTTAAGTAGTATGATATAAAAAAAAGATAGAGTCCATCAACTTTTTATATTTTTTTTTTATAAATTGACTTCAATTTTCTATAAAATAAATATACCCAGCAAACACCAAGTAACTATTATATAACTGTTAGTTATAATTTCTTACTCAACAATGTAAATGCAATGTAACACGTGTGTTACATAATAGGCCTACCATTCATATTTCAGCTTTGGGCCCCAAAAATGGCGCCACCAATCCAGCCACCGGACAGCTATTCAACTACAGTTGTTTTTTAAATAACAATTCGTACAAAACACATAACTTTGTGGCCCCAAAATGGCGGTTCGTGCGAGGACCTTCCTTCCCCTTCCGTAGTTCATCTACGGACCTTGACCTATATAGTGATATTGGGTTTAGTGAAAATAGACGTTAAATTTTACAATGTATTAGAGAATGAATCTTTCTATATATATATATATATATATATCATTATTCATTGCGGCTTGATGCCGTCCTTTTATTAAAAGGGCTATAACCTTTTTTTCTGTTCATAGTAAAAGCAAAGATCAGTAATGCATCAACAAAATATTATTTTAATAAAAGGACGGCATCAAGCCGCAATGAATAATGATCTCCCGTTATTTCATTCAAGCAGGAATATAATTGTTCACATCGATTTCATTTTAAAATCAATGCGTGATTAGCAAAAATTTTTTACTTTTCACATTTTCACTTTAGAAAAAGTTACAGAATCGATATCCAGGTCTAAAGGTGCAATTTCATGGAGCTAAGAAAAGCTGGCGTATTACTCTCACTCCACCGCAATGCAAAGCAGCGTTGAAAAGCTGTTCACTATTATGAGTACGTTTACACTGCACTCTTAATCGAGTTTAATAACATCCGTAGTTGTAAAACTGGCCAATCACAGCCGTTTTATTCTTCAGGGGAATGGCTGTAATTGGCCAGTTTTACAACTATAGATGTTATTAAACCCGATTAAGGGTGCCGTGTAAACGTACTCTATGTCCTCCTGCCTTTTCATGGAGCGAAGAAAAGCTAGCGTATTACTCCCACTCTACCGCAATTCAAAACAGCATTAAAAAGTAAAAATTTGTTTTTTAACTGCTCCGTTCTGCTCCGTTTTCTTTCTGTGTATAAAAATGGATTATAATAATCAATACATTATAGACATACAGTGGCAATTGCAGTTGCAGCAGAAATTAGGAGACGACGCATATAGCGGTTGCAGCTGCTACAATGCTTTTTTAAAAAGAAAAAGAAGACATATAAGAAGAAAAAATATTGGGTAGCACTTATTTTTGCCATCTTTATTCAGTTGATTTCAAATTCGACGTTGTACGTTGCTTCGCTAAAAGTTGGTTTTGTTCAACTTTGAACGTGTCTTCGCTGAATACAGCCATTTTTACAAAAATTGAGGAGAGGGGATGAAACACTAGCTTTTCTTCGCTCCATGAAATTGCACCTTTAAGCGGCGGCACAGTATATGTATAACCAGTAGCGGCACTTTTTGTCGGTTCTTTTGATATCAGTGTCCGAAATCATGTGACATGTCGCCATGTTCTTGATAGTAATAGCGCGCTTATATTTAAATTGTGAGAAAGAAAGGCAACTATATATAAACAATTATTTTTATAATTGTGCAGACAATTATTGTATAAATAACCACAATGTATATTTTCTTGAAATACATATTACATATGTAACATTAAAGTAACGCAAATAATCATATAAACATAAAAAAAGAAGAAATTTAACAAGTAATAATATTAAAATATACCTATGTGTTATTTAATAAATTATTTTTTTATTATGTTTGTGTATTATTTAATGAATTATTTATATTAAACAAGTAACATATTTATTATTGCCATTTTATTTATAAACATATTGATGTACATTTAGATTATTTACAATTGAAATGTATATAATGTGTAAAATTACGATAAATTCGTGATCAATGATTCCAATTTTTTGTTATACTCTTCAAAAATACGAAATCTCAAATTTTAGATGTATATAAAAATTGATAATAAATAAATGTAAATAACAATTCTATGTAATTTACAATTGGTTATAAAAGACTAATTTGTTTTATATTATCAGGTGTATTATTGTTTATCTGTTTAATGTACCTAAATTGATTTCTGTCTTGTTATTATGAATACGTATGAATACTTATAAGATAAGCTCCATTTTGTGGATAAGTATGTGTTGAATAATTGAACAGGAATTCAGTCACCTAGAAAACAATATTAATTATAAAATAAAACACTTTTTATTAATATTTTTAATATTATAATGTTTAGAAAAAACAAAAATTAGACATTTTCTGCATCTTTTTTCAATATCTTTTTTTATTCCGCATGCTTGTAGCCACAATTGTGCTCTAAAATAAATTTTATTGTAATTTTAGAAACAATTAAATTTTATATATACGTATATAGGAAATTGTCAAACAATTAATACCTTTCTGGATGAGATGGAAAGCAAAAAAAGCTCAAGGTACGACTGGAGCCGGAATTTTCATTGCAATCTTGCATTGCGCACGTGAAACCACCAACAACTACGCGATGTTCCATTATTATAACAATGTTTTTAAAAATATTTTCAAACCTGAAACTTAACAGAGTCTTTTTTTATTAATTAACTTGAATTTATTAATAGGATATATTTATTTTGATAAACATAACCACCACTTACTGTGTTTACAACTCACTGTACGCCATATTGTGAATAGTAATCCAACGCATGCGCCGTAGCATTTCTCCGACGCTATTTTTCTTGAGTGACGCTACTGGTTATACATATAAGGTTTGTTCGCGTCGCATGCCCCAACTTGCTCCTTTTTACTTCAATGCACTCGCATTGGTCCAATTTGAGGAACGCACCAATACGAGCGCATTGGAGTAAGAAAAGCATGTTGGGGCATGCGACGTGAACAAACCTATACTGTGGCGGCGGGGTCTATAATAGCAGCCAAGGTTCGTAGATGAACAACGGGAGGAGAAGTAAGGTCGTCGCATTCATTGTTTCAGCATTGCGCTCCAAAATGGCGCCGCCAATCCAGCCACCGGACAGCTGTTCAATTATAGTTTTTTTTCACTAACACTTCGTACGACACACACCGACATACAATACACATAACTTCGTGGTCCCAAAATGGCGGCTTATGCGACGACCTTTCTTCCCCTCCCGTCGTTCATCTACAAACCTTGATGGCAGCAGAAGAACAAAGTACAAGAGTAAGCAGTAAGCAGTACGAAATGGGATTCGCTCATTTTGTCGAGATTAACAAAATTATCTATAGCATTTAAATATAGTATACGTAACGTAAACTATAGCAAAGTACCCCAGCTCGTGCGACCCGCGTGGTACCCATATATGTAATACTACTATATTGCTAACAGGTCGAGAAACTGTAGCCAACATTACGGTGCAGACAATATATTCGTGTCTCGCTCTAAAGGACAGTTGCGCGATGTGCGCATGTGCTAAAACCAAAGTGAGGATGAGAAATATTGCTAAAACCGAAAGTGGGGATGAGAAATATTGCTGATTCGCGCCTTTATAGAAGTCACGCATGCGCAGAACGGCTAACTGTCCCGCTATACTTGTCTCTCTTCGACGTATCTTTTCTCTTTTCTTTTTATGGATGTTAGCAATATAGTAGTATTACATTTTCTATATTCCTATATCTATGGTGCTACACACTACGGCTTGAAGAGGATAGTAATTTAAGGGTCGGCAGACGACATGGTGGAGACGCCTATCGGCCGGCCGGGAATTAGAGATTCTTATATTCCAGATATTAGCGAAACTACTGAATGAATCTTATTAAATTTATGATATTCTTAATCAGTAAGCTCAAATGCAGTCCGCCAAAGAGTTATTTATTGAAAAAAAGATGAAAATAAAATTTATAATATAACTTGGGGGAATGCGCAGCTAGTAACGGGCACAGATTAATAGACAGATCGCCAAAGGCCTGCCTAAAGAAGAGACCGCCATCTTCATGCGATAGACTTTGCCCCTTACCGACACACTTTGCCCCTGGTTCGAGTCCGTGCTAAATTTCGTAGACTTGAACCAAAAGACTTTGCCCCTGGTTCGAGTCCGTGCTAAATTTCGTAGACTCGACCAAAAGACTTTGCCCCTGGTGCAAGTCCAGGCTAAATTCGTTTGACATTACCAACAGACTTTGCCCCTGGTGCGAATCCAGGCTAATTGATCATGAGACCAATTTGAGAGATTTGGCCCCCGTTGTGTGTGTGTGTGTGTGAGAGAGAGAGAGAGAGAGAGAAAGAGAAAGAGAATATTTTACATATGCATATATATATATATATAAAATTTATTAAATATAAAAAATATATTTTTTACACATAAAATGTTTTTTTATTGAAATAATCACGATTTTAAATGTGATATAACACAGTGTTCAAAAATTTTTAATTAAATTTTATTAAAGAAAATTACTTGAAATTTTTTACATTAAGAATTTA